ATATCATTATTCATTAATATATGTTACTAACGGTGCGATCTTTTTCTTTGCAAATCTTCTGTCTTGAAAATTTAAGCTGCAATAACCAGGGTTGGATCATCCACAAGGGTCGTAATTACAAAGTAAAAAAAAAAAAGGTTAAATGCTAATTTTGGTCCCTCAACTTTATAGAGTTCCATTTTTTGGTCTTTCAATTATTTTTTTCACTTTTTTGATCCATCAACTTTAAGAATTGCACAATTTTAATCCTTCCATCAGTTAGGGCAATTAAGTTGATCCACGTGACATCTTTCTTATTTTTTATAATGACACGTTAATGACAAATTGTACAATTAGCTTAGATGAACAATGTCAAATTTAATTATTGTTTTTAATTCTTTTCAATTATTTATACATAAAACTACTAAAATCTAGGTTCATCACGAACCTAGACAATCTAGATTCATGGCAAACCCAGAAGTTGTGGGTTCATCATGAACCCAAAGCTTGAGGAAGTCTTTGTGAAGGTATCTCATTGCTCTTCAATTATATATCCTAAATTTCTTTACTGATGTTTAAAGAAGCATGAGTATGAGATTATTTCCTAGTCTGGTTGATGAAATAGGTGTGTTTGCTTTTTCAATTTAGTCTATTTAGCATAGATGGTTTTTTGGGTTTAAATTAAGGGTATGTTTGTGCTATGACATCTGTGGTGCTTAGCTTGTTTCATAATTAATCGAGTCTAAGGTTGCTTTTATTTATTTGATTTAAAATGTCAAATTCAATTACTTAATTCTTCTAATTCAAGTTAAATTGTGTGCGACAAATCTACACTATCTGGGTTCCTCATGAACCCAGAGCAAGGAAGGTTCTTACAAACCCATCAAAGGGTTCTTGTTGAACCCAAAAATGGGTTTTCCTTTTCCTTTTTCTTTTTTTTTTTCTTTCAAATCTAGTAGATGAGAAAATAAAAAGGGAGGGGGAGATAGACAATGGTAGAGGAGAAGGGAAGATGAATAGTGAGAGAGAAGAACCATGAAGACGATGAAAGTAGCGGTATAATTGTATTTTTGTCTTTTAATTTATGAATTGTTTAATGTTGTGGAATCTAACTTGGTATTTTTATGTCCACATAACTTGATTATATGATGTGTCATTACACATCATAAAAAATATGTCTTTCTGGAATATTTTAACAGTTAAGTGTCACTTTAACTGACGGAAAAAGGTGCAGATCACCCCCTCAACTCAACCACTGGTGGCAAATCACCCCCTCAACCCACTTCACGCGCAAATCAACCCCTCAACTCACATGCAGTGGCAAATCAACCCCTCTGTTAAGGCTGACATCATCATTTCGCTAACTTTTAACCGTCCGTTCATCCGCCCCTCCTCCGTGTTTGATGTGGCTTTTTTTGCTGAGATGGATGCTGAGACGGATGCTGAGACGGAGGTACCACCTGGACAAACCAACCCAAATCATCAGATCAAGCAGATAAAAATTTAATTCTTTAAATAATATCTGAAATTATATTAAAAAATAATATAAAATTTTTTCTTAAATTATTTTCCGGTCATCATCATCTTCCTCATCGCGTCCTGATCCTACTGGATTTTCGGTCACATCTTTATCACCGATTCTCAACGGTTGTTATGTACTATGCCAAAATCAGCAAGTTTTCTAGATCAATTCTTGCAAAACGGCACCGCTGCAGCCAGGCATGACTTCACAGGAGCTAGAATCTCGCCGGTAAATTCTATCTCTGGCGAAAATCCTCCCTTCTGGTTCCAGTGCCGGTTCGGGCTCGCCCTCACCAGAGGACTCATACAGAACGCCAATCTGGACACGTTTCTGCCCTGCTCACAAGCCGCCTTCCCTCGTCGCAAGCCACTAGTGTCCTTCGCCATCGCCACCGAGGCGACACCTCTTGCGAGCTCCCATACGTCGCTCGATCACCGCCCTCGTCCTCGGTATTCTCACTCCTAACAGGCAACATTCCCCGATTGACCACCCTACAAGATCTCCGTTCGCCGACAACTAGTTCCTCCATGTCCATGTAGAACATTCTCGATTGTTGCTTTTTCCGGCGTCCGGAGAAGATCGTTGAGAACCAAGAGGAGGACGAAGGCGACAATGGCTCCTCGTAAGAATCCCGATGAGGATCAACACTAGGATCCAAATTCAATTTGTCGGATCTGGACCTGAAAAGGTTCGAGATTAACGAGAACCTCCCTTTCTTCTTGTTGAAAGATGCAGATGCTGCGAAATCGGTGGTGGTGGTATATGTAGGACCCACCTGAAGAGTGCTATAGAAGCGGAGGACGTGGTGGTGGGGCCAAGAGACATCTCAGCATCCATCTCAACAAAAAAAGCCACATCAAACACGGAGGAGGGGCGGATGAACGGACGGTTAAAAGTTAGCGGAATGATGATGTCAGCCTTAACAGAGAGGTTGATTTGCCACTGCATATGAGTTGAGGGGTTGATTTGCGCGTGAAGTGGGTTGAGGGGGTGATTTGCCACCAGTTGTTGAGTTTAGGGGGTGATCTGCACCTTTTGCCTTAACTGACGAAAGGACTAAAATTATATAGTTTTTAGAGTTGAGGGATTAAAAAATGCAAAAAATAGTTAAGGAACCAAAAAAAGCAACTCTATAAAGTTGAGAGACTAAAATTAGCATTTAACCCAAACAAAAAAAATGAAAACCTACTTCATTAATTTTCTTTTGAACTGGAGTGGTAGCAAATGGGCCATATTGAACTGGAGTTGGGTGGACATTGCGTAGAAACGTCAGCCCAAAAGGAATACTCTACTAAGGTCATCCCTCGTGTTTTCAGGCATTCCCCTACGTGGCCCGCGTGGCGAAGCTGCTCAGCAGCAAAGTGGAATGCACCCTTTGGTCTTCAGGTTGAATCCTCTCACTGTCGAACAGATGCTAACTTAATCATATAATTTTTATTGTAAAAATAATAATAATAATAATAAATAAGACCCCCTTTTTTTTATGAACCATGTTTGCCGTAAGGGATAAAAAAATTTACGAATATTGTCCAAAATAGGGTCTTTCTATGCTTAATTTGCAGAAATTTATTTTTCCCAAACCAAAGAAGAGAATTTCTTTCTTATAAATACAATTCAAACAAAAAAAAAAAAGAAATACAACGAACATCAAAAAAGAAATTACAATGTCATTGTTTACAATACAACACTTCCTTCTTCTTTTTTTCTTAAATGGTTGTTTCAGCCATTCATGGAATCGAAAATTTTATATGGAAAGCAAACTGAGTGCACCAAGACTCTGAAAACAAAAACAAAAAAAAAAATTTATTTTTTTTCTCTTGTTTTGATGTTCAGAAAAGAAGTCTCTCTTTGAAACTTCATCAGCCTCAAAATTTCACCCATATTATAAGGTCGTCCTTACACACAATACACCATCGACC